GGAGGTCACTGGGAGACACTGGTAGGCAGGGGTGGCAAGCGGTAGGTCACTGGGGACACTGGGAGGGAGAGGGAGAACTTGGAGGACATGGTGGTGACACGGGGAGGTGGTGGGTGGTCCAGGAGAACCTCTAGGAGGGAACTGGGAGGGAACTGGGAGGGAACTGGGGGGCGCTGGGAGGGCACGTGTTGATGCCGAACCCCATCTCTGCTCCCGCAGCGGCCGTGGGGGACGAGAACCGGATCGTGGGGGGCCGGAGCTGCCAGAAGAAGCGTCATCCCTACCAGGTGGTCCTCCTTGGTCCTCAGAAGAACATCCACTGTGGTGGGGTCCTCATCGGCCAATCCTGGGTGCTGACGGCCGCCCACTGTGACACCAAGAGGTGGGTTGGCCCCGGTGGGGTGGGGACAAGGACCATGGGGTGGCCCCGGTAGGGTGGGGTCCCCCGTACCCATCACCACGGGTTACTGGGAGAAGCCACGGAGATGTCCACCAAGAGCTGGAGGTGGCCTCTGGTCATAGGAGGACCTGGTTGGGCTTCATCTCACCATGGGTGGAGAACCTCTATGGCCACCACAACCATCTAGGTGGGCTCCCAGAATGACCATCTGACTGGGTTGGCCACCACACCCATCCAGTTGGGCTCCCAGAATGCCCATCTGACTGGGTTGGCCACCACACCCATCCAGTTGGGCTCCCAGAATGCCCATCTGACTGGGTTGGCCACCACACCCATCCAGTTGGGCTCCCAGAATGCCCATCTGACTGGGTTGGCCACCACACCCATCCAGTTGGGCTCCCAGAATGCCCATCTGACTGGGTTGGCCACCACACCCATCCAGTTGGGCTCCCAGAATGCCCATCTGACTGGGTTGGCCACCACACCCATCCAGTTGGGCTCCCAGAATGCCCATCTGACTGGGTTGGCCACCACACCCATCCAGTTGGGCTCCCAGAATGCCCATCTGACTGGGTTGGCCACCACAACCATCTAGGTGGTCTCCCACAATGACCATCTGACTGGGTTGGCCACCACAACCATCACTGAGGTCTTCTTCAACTTGGGCTTGGCCAAGGGAGGACTTTCCAGCTGACCCTCTTGGGTGACTTTGACCTCCCAACCTCACTTTCTCCACCTGGTGGAAGATCCTTTTTGTCCTACTTCCCTCAAACTCTTCCCCACCACCACCACTACCACCATCGCCACCACCACCACCACCATGTGGACCTTCTCTGGCCACGTCCACCAGAGAACCTCACCGTGGTCCTTTCTCCACCTCGTTCTCCAGCCCCATCCCCATCCGCATGGGTGACCACAGCTTGAAGACCAAAGAGGGGACGGAGCAGTGCATCAACTCAGCCAAGGCCTTCGTCCACCCCAACTATGACCCCACCAGCCATGACAGTGACATCATGCTCCTGAAGCTCCAGAAGCCGGTCCGCTTCACCGACCACGTCCACCCGGTGGCCCTCCCAAAGCGTTGTCCTCCACCCAACACCGAGTGCATCGTGTCGGGTTGGGGCAGCACCAGCAGCCCCGAAGGTAGGTGGAAATATCTTCTGGTTGCGTGTGAGGGCCTCCTCGAGGGACCTGGGGACATCTCAGCGTCTTGGGGACATCTCAGTGTCTTGGGGTCTCTCAGGGTCTTGGGGACTTCTCAGGGTCTTGGGGACATCTCAATGTCTTGGGGTCTCTCGGTGTCTTGGGGACATCTCAGTATCTTCGGGACATCTCAGGGTCTTGGGGACTTCTCAGGGTCTTGGGGACATCTCACCATCTTGGGGACATCTCAGCATATTGGGGATATCTCACCATCTTGGGGACATCTCAGCGTCTTGGGGACATCTCAGCGTCTTGGGGACATCTCAGGGTCTTGGGGTCTCTCGGTGTCTTGGGGACATCTCAGTATCTTCGGGACATCTCAGCGTCTTGGGGACTTCTCAGGGTCTCGGGAACTTCTCAGGGTCTTGGGGACATCTCAGTGTCTTGAGGACATCTCACCATCTTGGGGATATCTCACCATATTGGGGACATCTCAGCATCTTGAGGACATCTCAGCATCTGGGGACATCTCAGCGTCTTTGGGACATGTCAGCGTCTTGGGGACTTCTCAGGGTCTTGGGGACATCTCAGCATCTTGGGGACATCTCAGCATCTTGGGGTCATTTCAGAGTCTTGAGGACATCTCAGTGTCTTGGGCATCTCTCAGCTTCTTGGAAACATCTCAGTGTCTTGGGAATGTCACAGCATCTTGGGGACATCTCAGCATCTTGGGGACATCTCAACATCTTGGGGACATCTCAGTGTCTTGGGGACATCTCAGTATCTTGAGGACATCTCAGGGCGTCCCTGAGGGTCCCCTCACCTTGAGGCCACCTCCCATGGGTGCCACCACCCCCGGCACCCTCAGAGGTGTGTTCCGTGTCCCCTGACGCTGTCCCCGTTGTCCCCAGGGTACTTCCCCGACGTTCTCCAGTGCGGCGTGGTCTACACCATGACCAACGAGCAGTGCGGCAAGCTCTACCCCAAAGGCATCACCAAGAACATGCTCTGCGCCGGTGTCACCTCGGGAGGCACCGACTCCTGCCAGGTGGGTATGGGGTGGGGAGGTGGGGGGCTGCCCCACACCTCCCAGTGGGGCGGGGTCCGGGGGGCTCCACCCGCCCCACCCTGGAGAGGACACCCATGTTGGGGGCCAACCAGCCGGCTTGGTCTTGAGGAACCTCAACCGGGTGGTGTGTTGGCCGTGGGGACACGGGCGGCTGTAGGGACCCCTCCGAGCACCATGGGGACCCCCAGGGGCTATAGGGGCCACCTGGGTTCCATAGGGACGTTGGGTGCTATAGGGACCCGCAAGCCCTATAGGAACACCTTGGGTGCTATAAGGACCCCCAACCCCTATAGGAACACCGTGGGTGCTATAGGGACCCCCAAGCTCCATAGGAACACCCCGGGTGCTAGAGGGACCCCCAAGCTCCATAGGAACACCCCGGGCGCTATAGGGACCCCCAAGTGCTATAGGAACACCCTGGGTGCTATAGGGACCCCCAAGTGCCATAGGAACACCCTGGGTGCTGTAGGGACCCCCAAGAGCTATAGGAACACCCTGGGTGCTATAGGGACCCCCAAGTGCTATAGGAACACCCTGGGTGCTGTAGGGACCCCCAACCTCTATAGGAAAACCCTGGCTGCTATAGGGACCCCCAAGAGCTATAGGAACACCCTGGGTGCTATAGGGACCCCACAGCACTGTAGGGACCTCCTCAGGCTATAGGGGCCTCGGGACCAACACCCTGTAGGACACGGGGTCTCCATGGTTTGACCCCATAGGGCACGGTGGTCTCCATGCCTTCACCCCATAGCCCATGGTGGTCTCCATGGTTTGACCCCATAGCCCATGGTGGTCTCCATGCCTTGACCTCATAGAACATGGTGGTCTTCATGCCTTCACCCCATAGGACATGGTGTCCATGCCTTCACCCCATAGGCCATGATGGTCCTTATGTCTTCACCCCATAGCCCATGGTGGTCTCCACGCCCTGACCCCATAGCCAATGGTGGTCTCCATGCCTTCACCCCATAGCCCATGGTGGTCTCCATGCCCTGACCCCATAGCCCATGGTGGTCTCCATGCCTTCACCCCATAGCCCATGGTGGTCTCCACGCCCTGACCCCATAGCCCATGGTGGTCTCCATGCCTTCACCCCATAGGACATGGTGTCCATGTCTTGACCCCATAGCCCATGGTGGTCTCCATGCCTTCACCCCATAGCCCATGGTGGCCTCCATGCCCTGACCCCATAGCCCATGGTGGTCCTGGTGGAACCATGAGTCCTGAGGGATCGCCGTGGGGTGGAAGCTGGCCGGGGGAGAAGTGGGGGTGCTTGAAGGCCCCGATCGTTGGGGTCCCATCTCATGGGGGTTCTTCTCTCTCCACCAGGGTGACTCGGGGGGTCCCTTGGTGTGTCGGGAGGAGCTCCAGGGCATCGTCTCGTGGGGGATGCAGGTCTGCGGCCAACGGGGCAAACCGGGCGTCTACACCCGCGTCTGCCAGTTCACCCCCTGGATCCACGA